CCCCCCCCCCCCCCCGAGCTGCCGTGTTGTGGAACATCCTCCCACTTTCTGTCTTTCCTCACGCTTCTTAAACACAGAATCAATAGCCTGTAACGTATGTGAATGTTCCCCTAATTTTAATTTTACAATGTTATTTATCTAAGGTGATTTCCTCTTCTATTGTAACCTACACTATGTGCAACAGAAAAGGGGAAGAGCGTTGGAGCGGATGGTTTATTCACATCCGTGTATTTCAGACAATTGTCCCCCAAATGCACCCGTTTTTCGTCCCATCCCGAACTCTGTTCTGTTCTGTGATCCAGCACACGAGAAATAAAACGCAACAAGAAAGCAGTGCATGATACGGTTAGCAAGACTTCTGTCCATAGATGAGCAATAAGTATCAGGATGAGCACACAAATCGCTAGGAAACACAGCACAAGCCAACGGTGCATCTGAATCAATTAATCAATCAAATCCAGGAGGTGTATTGTTGTTGTTGTTGTATGTCAAACGACAAGTTGTATCTTGTTCGAGATGAATGGGACAGTCGAACAGTTTCAGTTTGAATAACCATTAACCATACACTTTCGTGCGCCGGGACAGTCGAACAGTCGACGACGAAGGGGATACGGTAGATGTGATCTAGTTAGACTGCTCGAAAGCCTGTGATCGGATAAACCATCACATTTGTCTACACGGAATCTATGCAATTCCCGCATTCGAGGTTTCATGCTTGATTGGATTGGAGCACTCCTCCGACAACGGACCATATCAGTTCGTGCCTCGGATTCCCTATTCAGTTCTACCAACGTTAACCATGATGTTTCACAAGGGTGTGTACTGGAACCCCGTCTTTTCCTTGCATTCATAAATAATCTATCGGATATTTTAGGGTCAAAAACAATATTGTTTGCAAACGACGCTAAAAAATCTGGAGCCCAGTAACAGAACCCGATGGCTCTCTATCACTTTAAGAAACATCTAACGCAGCTTTTCAATGGGCTACGGAAAACTATGTTGAATTCAATGTTTCTAAATGCAAAGTCCTATCCCCTACGCGACAGGAGTAGATTGTCATATTTCCTCCGAAATCACCACTCACCACATATCTCAAGTAAGAAGGACTCAGGTATAACTCCATAAGACGGTGGTGGTGGCCCAGTGGTAACGTCACCAAATTATCACCCCGGGGATGTGTGTTCGAATCCCACTACCACCGTCTGACTTTCCCTTTGTGTGTTGAATGGACGCTTCCCCTTTACTGGGAAGTATATCTTTGTTTATTCAATAAAAGGAAGTAAAATGAAAAATAAAGAGGACAACTTGAGCTGTCCGATCAATTGCGCCAAGGCTACGCCACTGCTGTTAAGAATGTTGGCTTGCTTAGGCAAGTCTTTAGCCCAATTGAATCAGTATTTTTCCCACGTTTGTTATCAGCGTGCATTCGACCGTGCACAGTATAAGTCATCCAAGCCTGGAATCTATGGTTGCAACGTGATCGTAAAAAATGCTGGAGAGTTAATAAAGGATTGCCATCAAAATGATCAGGGGATTTAACTGTCTCACCTGTGAGAGTTTGTGATCATTGGGACTATGTTCTCATCAGTACCGCCGCATTCGAGAAGACTTGATTTTAGCGTATCAAATACTACAGAACCCTAACCATCCAGTTCGGTCGCTGCTCACGTTGTTGCCCAACACACACCGTAAGGGACATCGTTTCAAGTGACTAATTCCACAGTGTCGATTGTGGAATGCTGGCACCAATCTTTTGCTATATGCCAATAAAGCTTCTGCAAATACCCCAGTACGGTCGGGAGTATGTCTCGGACTCCGGGACAACTACTTGTCCCAACCTGTTCTATGGAAATAATCCCAAATGACCAACAACCATCTCCAGTAGCCTCTGTCGAGGAAGTTCTACCCACAGAGCTCACATGGCGGAGGTGTTCCGACTGGAGTTGACACTGATCACTGGGCATCAGTTTAGAAGGAGTTTATCTTTAAAAACCCTTGTTCTATACAACCAAGCCGTACTTGGTGTAAACAAGTTCGTATTTGTTTCATTTCATTACGAATAACTGTAAGGGTATCCGAAAATTGGCATACATACAACTAAATGTCTCATCTGGAACAGGTCTGCAGAATTCCCACAAAAAAACAGAATAAATAATGCAGCAATTTTGAGCACAGTAATTCGCTGTTAGAGGTATCCTTCATGTTTGACGGTTGGGAGAAACCGCCGATCGCGTTCTTGTGCGCAACCCAAACATACTGCTCACAACAGTAGTAGAGGATATANTATAGATTGATATCCCTTTTTCATAGAATTCATCATGCATGGGAGCAAATGAAGCCTGAACTGGAAAGCTAGGAGATATTGTTTCAACCTGGTTGGGTTTCATCAGCAGTGCGAATCCATCGACCCAACTGGAGATCGAACCCGGGACGTCAAAGACAGAACGAAAGCCTCCTACCCATTAGGTCACCGGGAAGCTGATCAGACCGCCTTTTATTTTCAATTTACAGGATATAGCACAACCCATATTTGCGAGCTTATTGCGGGTCTTGCGCCTCGCTCATTTCAGCATTAGCCTCCCTGGTAATGACTTGGTTGGAAACTTTTACAACCTGACCACTTGTTGCATGTAGATAATGGAGGATTTGATTTAATCTCAACGGAAATTTGTCGTGTCCGGAGCAAATGAAGCGCTATTCTCTGGCGAACAACAAAATGGGTAAACTCCACAGCCACGAGACCCCCCCCCTGATGTTTACCGGCGCTCCAGGCTTTGAGATTTGAAGTGGCTAGCCGTAGCGAAAGTAACAGAATTCAAACCGTGCGTGCGGAACCCAGGGCCAGAAACACGTCCATTATCACCACAACCACCGCTACCATGAGAACCAAAACACACAAAACACCTAATTAATTTTCCAGTCACAGTATTATTCAGTCACCAGTTCACAGCAAGAATTCTTGCATATTTGAATAGTTCAACAGTTCATTGCATCTTCAATCTAGCAACACCGTCCTGTAGGATAAACTCATTCCCATTCCCATACAATGTTGGCAATGTGATTGAGGTTGTTAAGTAAAAACAGTGAATAATAATAACTACAAAAGAGTTAGTTGAATACGATCTCAAACACTGACATTGACCCTGGGTCCGCTTCCGCACCCCACCCCACCCCGCCTCTATTAGAACTGGATAGATTATTATTATTATTATTATTATTATTACTATTATTATTATTATATTTCACGCCTGTCTGAGGTCAGACTTTATGCCAAACAAATTATGCTACAAGAATGTTCATAAAAAAAGAAAAAAACGTTCCACGATTTGCGAGTGGGCGGAATACGGCCCGGTTGCCCAGGCTAAGGTAGGTGGACTTCCTTGAGGAATCCACAAAAGGACCGACCCTTCGGCTACCCAAAGCCTGACCCGCAAGGCATCGCTGGGTGTTGTGTGAAAACCGTAATCCATTGGGGTGCCGGTGTCCAGTTCATCGAATCATACGTCCTTCGGACAGGGTCAAAACGTCCAAGGTGCCCAATCGAGCCGATGACCACTGCCACAACCGGGAAGTCGTGTGTGTGGTTCGCACGCCTCCTCTTGGTTGGTTAGGGATCAAGGTTTTTGACCAACTCCCCTAGATGAACTGCCAGTACTGGTTCACCAACCCGGTTGTAGCCCCGGATGTCGGCTTTTCGTCTTCTCACTTCGATGCGAACTTGACAGGCACTGTTGTTCTTTCCCAAATGAGCTTAATGAGCAGATCAGATCAGCTTCTATTTTATGTATAAGCAGAGCGGTAAATGCTGGATGAGAAAGTTCGATATACCGTTTGTCTCTGACTATTCTTAGGGAAATAATTCATAAAAAAACGGCTGGATTTGGACCACAGACTATTGGTTTTGCATGTAACAGATCGGTTAGATCAAACGTCTCTCTCATTTATTCATCACACACACACAAACGATCAAACAAGACCATGATGATCAGCACAAGCGAGTACAGGGGTACGCACAGACACAGGCATGCTCGCCACACGATGACAACATACCTCTCCGTCTGGAGCCGAATTGGACATCATCGCGGTCGAACCGTTGCACACGGAAGGCGGTTGAACGGTCAATGATGGATGCCTCCAATACGGTGCAGCACCATCGAGGACATTGTTCAGACCGTGACCGGGGCAACACAGACTCGTTGCGGTCAGATCGGTCAACCGTGATTCAATCGGGGTGCTTGGATCACCCGTGGACGCCCGATGTGGATGTGGATTGGGATGGAGGTGCAATTGCGAGGGCATGTGTCGGTCCGGTGGGGATTGAGATTGTAATTGAAAGGGACCAGGAGGAGGAGGATGAGATGCGTTGGGTTGAGCGTCGGGAATGGTGGGATTGTTTGTAAGCCATGGATGTTGCATGATCTCTTGGGTACTTGGTCGCTTTGCTGGGGCTTTGGATAGCATACTCCGGATCAAACGTTCACATGCTACACGAACCGGGACGGGGTGGAGAGTGAGAGTGAAGAGAATAGGGATGTTAAGTGGAAATTGTCATATCAAATCACGGGTAGACATGTTTGTGAATATCATAACGTACCACTGATTTTGTTCCGGATATTAATGCGAAAACAACTCACTTCTTCTGTGCCCCCCCCCTTCCAAAAAATGACTGTTGCCGTGATATCAATGACAGGTAATCAAACCTATGGATACCGATTATGCTATAAAAAATGTTTCTATATCGTTGCAGAACACTGTAGGCTGGCATTTGTCGGACGTGTTATTGATGTACGATCTACGATTGAGAGAGAGATTGTGACAAAGCTGAAGGTATGGTGTAACCAAGTGAACAACAAATCGTTTGGGCAATGACGGATGTGGCACTGCGTCGTTATCACAGCCTGTGCAACGTTTGGCATTTTTTACATGTAGTTCCGTTACGAAATTTATGAGACAACACGTCCTTCCCTCACTGGGCCTCGGTTGACGCTATCGCTGAAACGAACAACTACGAACATAGTTCAGCGATATTAAATAAAACATGGGATTGAAGAAAGTCTTGGTACATCTATGGAACAGTATTGGACTGTCGTGATCACATCCACGATTCTAAGCCATACCTGTTTATACTGAATAGGGAGTTTCACTTTCACTTTTTACAACCATTAACCATGCACTTTCGTGCGCTAGTTTTGGTTGCTGTCTTTTGGTGCCCCATTTGGATAAAAGAGCAGAATAAAGATTGGAATGTTGAAAGCAAATTAAAGCGGAAGACGGAGAATTCATATAGAATCGTGATAGGGGAATAATGAGTGGATGCACGAGCACCACTGTTTGTGACAGCCATATCACTCAGTGTCTCAAACCATCAGTGACCATCATCCCGAGGTCCCCTGCCAGGGAGCCTAA